CTTCTGAAGGTGGATAACAAATAATACAAGTATAGTCAGTTGATAGGTAACTTCTGTTTTCAGAGTGTTGTTGAATATGATTTCGTTATAATATGAGGTAGAGATCAAAATTCATCCACTAAAAAGCTAGAGGTCCTAGCAGGAATTACCACTTTTGTTGGCTTGGTATTTGTAAACTTAAACGATAAACTTTTAATTCAATCTGTCAAATTAAATACAAGACCATATCACAATCACACCTATATGAAGACATGATAAAAGGTAATAGTAAATGAATTTAACAATTCCTTTATTGAACTCTTAGTTTATTCTAAAACCTCAACTTGAGTTACTTTTCAACTCAAGGGAAAATACAAGATATTTATATAAAATAAAATAATATAAAATCAACTATAACAAATATAACAAAGAGAATAAATAATATAACTATGATAAATATAATATATATAATAAATAAGATATAATTAATAAATATAATAAATATAATCTATATATCGAATATGTTCACTTGATCAACGTTGACAACTTTAGCAACTTTGTCAACTTTGTTAACTATGTCAATCATTTAGATCACATGACTTTATTTTAGTATAGTCACAGATCACAGCTTCACTGCATTTTTCTATTTCTAACTTTGCATCCAATCTCCACTTCAATCCAAAATTCACCTTCAAAAGTCTATCCCACATATCTTGTTTTGCTTCCAAATCAGTGTCACTTTTCCAATCACTTACCTTATCATTTCCCCAATCATTTTCACTAAAAGTATCATCCAAACCTGTTTCTAATTATTTCCCTAATATGTTCCCTTCTGTATCACTCTCAATTCTAAAATAAAAATAAATTTATTTAAATAATTCTTATAAATAGGTTGAACAATTTATAAACTTACTCAAGTTTTATGGAAATTTTTCTATTTTATTCCGGGTTGCATTTTTTAGTGCAGCTTTTCTTTTATTAAGTCGAGACATACTGGAAAAATTTTTTAAAAAAAAAGTCTGTTCAACCTATAAATTAAAATTTATCATTGTCGTTATCATCATATTACAAATTTTCATGTGATCAATTTCATTTTATTGGACAAAATCATTGTCACATGATAAATCGCAAGTCTAAAATTTAAACATTTTATAGAAAAATTACCAATTTTCAAACGCCTAAGGCTCAAAAAATTTCTAATCAACTAGAGATTTGAAGTCATAACTTTTATTTTCTATTGTATATATTATCATTATTATGGATTGTTTTTTTTTTATATCATGTAGAACAAAAGTTTTAGGATTTTAAAGTCATACAATTTTATTTCTATTTATAGATGATCTGCATCATATGACATACTATTGACCAAATTTTCAATAGTTTATATTGGAATTTTTCTCTATGTCTTGTTAATATATTATTCAAGTTCAGCAATGTTAGAAGGCATTTTTTTTCTTCTATAAATGCTTTTCTTAACATCTGTCTACAGATTCTCAATTGGATTGAGATCTAGATTTTGAGCCAGCTAAGAAAGTTTGCATAAGCCATTTTCTATATGAAATTTTTTCATAACTTTCAGTATGTATAAACGAGCATTATTCTAACTATCACCATTTGAAATCATTAAAATATTTTAGAATGGATATACTACAATTTGGATACTTCACGAAAATGATTTGTAAAGCAAAGTAGTGTAAAATAGTCTAAATTATTATGTTTGCCATATTTTGACCTATAAAATATATCACAATTGATTTAATGTATTGCTTATTTTTAAGCATTATACAATAGATAGTAAAATAAATCTGGATCGATAAAGGGATTTTGATATTAAATTCCCTAAATAAAATTCAGAAAAAAATGAACAAGTTTCAGATTCCTTCTGATCTGAGTCAAATTCTAAATAAAATTCTTGAAGGAGAAGGATTTTCTAATTTTACGACTGATCAATGACAAATGTTTATCACTGTATATGCCACTGTTTACTTTAGAACTATCTTTTAATTGTAGATAGAAAGATTCTTATGCATTTCATAAGGATTTGTACAATTTTAGTAAGCTGAATTGTAGAATCAGAACTATTACATAAAGCACATCGAAGACTAATTGAGATGGTGAAGTTGATTGAAAATAATCATAGGCATGACAAAATCATACTAAATCTTCATTTTTCTTTCTATTTGTATGATTGCTCAAGAGACTATGGTCTGTTATATGCATTTTAATGCTTTTTTTTTGAATGTATAAATGAAATATTAGGTATTTTTTTTGAGAATTTCTTGAATAAATCAGCTTACTAATTTATGAATAATTTTTAGGTTCTTTACTGAATAGTAATAGAAAAATTGAATCTGAGCTAATACGTTGATTGATATTTGATATTCAAATCAACAGTATTATAAGTTCCAGTGATATTGAGATAAAAGGGCTTAAATTTCTAAACAATCAGCCTTCAATTAGTTCTCTTTCAAATACAAACAAATTTTCTTTTAACAAAATCCATCAATTTTGGATAAATTTATGAAATATTAAGTAATCAAATGTTACTAGTAGTGAACCATTTTTCGGTGAATTTCTTAAACCATCATCTGATAATATAATTATTTTAAGTGAAATGCTTGATTTGATGGTTGAATACTACAATGTAATTTATACTACATTTGATTTTAGAAAGCCATTTGATAAGGATTCAGAAGATAGTATAATGATTCAGGTTAAAATGAATTAATTCAAAAGGTACTGAATTAATTCTAAAATCTTTAGATCGTCAATGTTTTTGCGATATGTAAAAAATTCGTACATTTTGGCTAAATTTATTACAAATAATGGTACAGTTGATTGTTATCCTAATCAAGTCTAATATTATTTTACACATAAGATCGATTTGCCATCTGGATAGGCTGAATATTTTTTAGCATTTGTTCATTGATATAAATCTACAAATTCTTCAAATATGCAGTATTATTTTAGCGAAGAAGAAATATATAATGTTGAATTATAGGATACCAAATTTTATCTGGAAAGTTATGATTGTATAATATCAGTTCATCATATTTTAGGTCAATTTGTACTGATTAACTATCAAATTTCAGCTTAGTAAAATGCAAAAGAATATTTGGCTATTAATCTAATTAATAAAAAATACCATTTGTGAAAATAAATTGAATATTTTTAGCATTATTTAGCTGTTAATTCTAAATATCAGTTATATTTCCTTTCAAATTTTATTTTATTTTGAAATATTTTAGTTAATTTTTGATATATATCAATTAGACGTTAATTGGCTATAAATAAGATAGATTAAATTTTAGCTGATTTTTGATTGATTTCTAATATATGCTAATTGGCTATAAATAAGATAGATCAAATTTTGGCTGATTCTTGACTGATTTCTGATGTATACCAATTAGCTAGGCTAATTTTTTAATAATTTGCTTTTAGGCTGATTTTTCGCATATCTGATTTTTTTGATTTTGATCAGTAATTTTCTTGTTTAATATAAGATTATTAAAGAATATCACTAATAAATCTATTGTTTAAACAATATTCATATTTTTTCACTAATTTTACAAATAAAAGTTGATATATATCTTAAATTTGTATAGTCTAAATTCTCATAATTTGAAATCTTTATCCTTTTAACAAATAATTATAAATTGCTAACTATTAATATATATAGTTAAAAGAGAATATCCTTTAAAATTTTTTTATTAATTTTATATTATCAAATATTTTAATGTTATTTTTTGAATTAAATAAAGTTTGGTATAAAAAATTAATTATATTAAAAGGAGTATTATAAATAAAACTTATAATTCTATTTGCTTTACAAATATAATTAGATTGAATAATAAAAATTAAATTTTTTTTAACTACAGTATTTATAAAATTAGTTCTATTAAGTGTAATAAAAGTTTTTATTTCTAAACATATAGAATATAATATGATATCACATGATTATTACAAAACATCTAAATGCTTTAAAATGTAATTCTTTATTTATTTTTCATTATTTTGTTTTATTTATTATTAATAAATACAGTTTTAAAAGGATAGTAATTAAAGAAAATAGATTCAAACATAAGGTAAATTTTTATATTACAAATATCATTACTGATCATTAATAAATTTATCAAATTTTTTAATTATTTTTTTTAACAATTTATGATCATTTTATAAACTTTTTATTTTTATTCTATTTTTATTTTTTTGAAAAAATATTAATATTATAAAGTATAGATTTTTAAATTAAAGTCTTAATTTTTAATCTGAAATTATATTTTTTATTATATATATATATTATTGTAATAGATTTAGATATATTTTTTTATTTTAAATATTCTGAATCTAAATAAGATTTTAAATTTATTTAAATTTATTTTAAACTGTCAAAGATTAATAAAATAAATTAATAATATTTTATCAATAAGATAATGTTATTTTATTATTATATTGATATTTTATTATTTTATTTTGAATTTATAAACTATAAAATCACCTAATATTATATTATTTATAAGTATATAACAAAAAAATTTTTATGATTAGATAATAACATAATAATATTACATGATATGTAATTATTTAAATCAATAGATTATTATTTATTTTAACCAAACTATTAAATACGATTAATCGTAAATAACAAATCAAATTATTATTATTATTACTATGATTATTATGATTATTATGATTATGGTTATTATTAAAGGTAAATATAATATCAGTAATCTAATATTAAGATATATATTTTGATATTTTAAACCAAATTAATCAAAATTGTGATTACTAAAATTCTAATAAACTTTTGTTAATATCTTCACAAACAGAATTATGCGTTTTTAAAGTCATAAAGGCAACTAGCTGTGCAATATCAATAATCTCATCAATTTTTGATTCACCATGCATTATTAATCCAGATATTAAAGTTCCAACAAAACTTTCAAAAAAAAAAAATAAATAAATAAATAAATAAAAGAATCATTATTAAATTTTTTTTTTTGGAAATATAACATTTTTAATTACCTATCACCAGCTCCCGTAACATTAACTATTTCACTTTTATCAAGTTTTTTGGGCCTAAAATATCTAAACCTATATATTTAAACAAATATTAATAAAGATAATTATAAATGTAACAAATTGAATTTAATCGTACCTTGATCCGCTGTTTCCGTTTTTCCATTTTATAATAATTTCATTCTTCTCGTAATTTATAATACTCTTACCAGTTTCTTTCATATTAACGTTATCGATACTTAAATCTTTTAAAAATTGTGCGTACAAAATACCATTTGCGCCTAATTTTACTATGATATTTGGTATAAAAGGTAAGAAATGTGTAACATGTATAAACAATCCATCATTGATTAACGTTCTTATTGCAGAGTTATGTTTAAATAGGCTTTCAAAATCTAAATTATTTAAAATAAATAAATAAATGAATAAATTATAATTACATTGCCAGTAAATAAATCAAGTGGGCAAAATTAAAAATGAAAAAGAAAAGAAAATAAAATAAAATAACAACACCTTTTTCAAATTTTGGATCAAGACCATATTTATCAATTTCCTTAAATTCAACCCTTTCAAATAAACCTTCTTGATGTGCTTTAGCATGCATTGTTTTTAATTCAAAAAAATTTGGTGACATGTATTTTAATGATTGTGACGATAGTAATGAGATAAATTGTTCATGATCTTTAAATAACTTCAAAGATTTTGGAACTGATGTTGTTTCAAAGAATGCTTCCAAAAAGGGATTTAAAGTTAATGTATTGAAAAATGACTAAAAATTATCAATTAATAAATAACCCACTTGGTATGTTACAGGTATGACAGGTATTTAAAATACTATAAATACAATCTACGGAAATGTTTCCATCAAAGCAAACTAACTTCGGTTGTTTCATTCTAATTGTCTGACAAACCTATAAAATATAATTAATTAAAGGAATTTGTATATATTTTAATAATTAAAGAATATTTCTATTTTTTATATCCATACCTTATCGGATGATAATTTATCAAATATTCTCATATCAGCAACAGCACAAATTAAATTCCCGTCAGGATCATGAATTGCATTATATAATGCCGTTGATTCATTTTTGATTATTTGTAATCCATCGGTTTCCATTCCAATTTGTTCAAATCTATTCTTCAACCAACTTCCATTTACATCATTTCCAATTGTTGATACAAACAATGGATTCGCTCCAAGTCTAAATGATGTTTCCGCTATGTTTCTTCCTACTCCTCCAATAGTTTGTCTTATTACACCAGGTGATGATGTTTTAAAGTATGAAGAATCGAGAGGATCCAAAGTTGATGTAAGATCAACTGCCGCTCCACCAATTATCAATAACTAAAATGCACATTAAAAAAAAACCAAAAAAAAAAAAATTGAAAATATATATTAAAATATTTTCATTATAATAAACCAACCATTATATAGAAAAATTAGATTTTCTAAATTTGATATAAATTTGACATTTATTATTCTCAACTTCGCGATACATTATTTTTGTCTTAAGTTACACTTTTTTTTTTTTTTTTTTTACCATCATCCATAATCTATAAATTCACTCACTTATACTGTTCACAACAACTAACTTCGAACAATTCATATGAATAAGAATAATATAGAATCTTCATGTACTGGCAAGTCAAATAAATGTCTAAATTCCCAATTTGCTAATTGTTGAAAGTCCATCCACGAGCATGATATTCGATCACTTACAAATAAAATTTCAAATGAATGCGAATTGAAGAATCTAATTTGTCCGGTCACTTAATGGATACTTACCCTTTTATTTGAGAAAAAATCTTGATCCCTTTGAAGTTTTGAAAAAAAAGGCGCTGATACGTTTTTTTTTGATCTACTTTCCGACTTTTGTTTAGAACTAAAGCCAGCCAAACATTTAGCAATTCGACTTCCGATTTTTGCATTATGCTTAATCAATGCAACATCTATAAAAAGAACAGGATTAATAAATGATTCATATTAATCAATCTCAACTTATATTCATACTTGATTTCAAAGAGCCTCCTTGTGTAATCTCATTAACCCTCCTAAGCAAAAATGGTGTCACATCCTTCCCTCTGATGTCTCTAATAAAAAAATATATACAACAAAATATTAAAATATTATAAATATTAAATAAAAACTTTCGTGAAACAAAATAAAATAACTATAAATACTTTGCTTCGACTAAAGCAATATCTATTGCTTTCTGTACTTTATCCGCATCAGCTGCTTCATTTTCAGGTATTGGAACTGCTATAAGCAACCCGCTATCTAATCCAAGTTGCGTATTTGCATCTTAAAAAGAAAGAAAATAATTTATCTTCAGTCAACTAGATGGTACTTAAAAGTGTGAAAAAAAGATAACATACTGATCAGAGCAGCACATTCTTCAATAGTTTTTGAATTTGAAGGACTCTGGTAATAAAGCATAAGAATAAATTGCTTAATACTCAACATGAATTTATCATTTATCACATTATAAATGATAATTACCTTAAAACCACTTTTACGCGTAAAAAAGGCTGGGAAATCTGTTGTTTCACCGAATGTTGTCACTGTGACACCTTGGGTTTCCTTACCATCCAGGAATTAAATACAAATTAGATAATTGCCTTGATATGTTTTAAAATGTCACGGAGTTAAAAATTTTTCTCTACCAAATATTCCAAAGTTTTCCCAATATCCAAAATTGATTTGACTCCCGCACACACAACAGCTACGGGTGATTTTCCCAACTCGACTAAGTCAGCACTTATATCCATTGCTATTTATGGAATCATAAAGCATAAGTAAAATGGAACGAAGTAAACCTACATAATGATGATATTATAGCTTACATTTTTCTGCACCGCGATGAACGCCGCCAATACCACCAGTAACAAACACTTTAATTCCTGCGTGATGAGCTATAACTATAGTTCCAGAAACCGTTGTACCTCCTGTCAATCCCTAATTTAAATAAAAAAAGTCCATTGTCATCTAACTCATCTAACACATATATCGACAACTTTAATTTTTGATAAACATGCTAAATTTTATATCGGAGGATCAGGTATGTTTCCAGTTTTCGTAATTACAACGGACATCAGACCTTCACTAGTGAATATACCATACTAGAAAACCTCAATCAACAATTCTTACTTGTGAAACAACATATGCAAGATCTCGACGAGAACTTTTTTTTGCTTGTTGACCTATTCGCGCAAGGATCTCTAATCCACTAGATGATAAACCTAAGATAATAAAATTTTAAATTGATTATATAAATCATATATAATTCATATTACATTATATCAACTACTTACCTACATTGATTTTTCCATTTAAAATAGCTATAGTCGCAGGCGCGCTTCCATTTTCCCTAACAATGTTTTCAACCGCTATAGCCGTTTCCAAATTCTGAGGATATGGCATACCTTTGAAAATAACATAAAATATCATTAAAAAAAAAAAAAAAAATAATAATTTATTTTTTCCGAGTTATTTTACCTTACCATGACATATTATACTAGACTCCAAGGCCACAACTGGTCTATCTTCCTGTAAAGCTTCAGAAACTTCAAGACTATAATTCCAACCTTGATTATCTAGTAAGGTTGATTTGGGTTTTGAGAAATCATTATAATATCTTTTAAAACTTGAAGATAGTTTATACGAAAACTTTGTTATCAAAAATATGATAAAAAAGTTTATTTATATAAGAAAGTTTTATTAATGTAAAAATATCAAGTTGAAAGAATTCATTAATAGTTACCAAAGGACTTATTCTATTTGTTGACTTTTTGAAAGTACAAGAAATACTTGTACGAGGGTTTATAAAAGAACGAATGTATAATGTTGCCATCTAAAAAAGAAAAATGTGTGTAAGGGTAATGAAAGATGAAAAAAGATAATTTATAACCAAAAATGGAATATGACATTGCTATAAGAAATAAAAAAATTTATGGTCACGAGCGGAATATGAAAATCTCAGCCATCGGCTCAGCCGGCTGACGTTTACACTTTGCAGTTCAAGTAATTTATGAAATGGTTTCACTTCTGTTAATCTAACTAAATTAGAATTTCCCGGAATGAACCAATATAAGTATGCATGTATACTTTACGTGTCAAATTGCTATTAAAATAAGTTGGCGCAGCAAGATTTAACTCGAAAGATATTTAAGGCAAGGGAATTGAATCATTCTTTTGATGTCATTAAGTTCTACCGAATCTTTCACCAGTCATAAAGAAAATTTGATACCTGAAATACCTAACTATTGTTTTGGTTAAGAATTTTGTAGGGTTCAACATGTAACACCAAATTTTTTTTCGTGACGTTGTCATACCCTAAGTAAATAATGTTAAATTAAATAATTAAAAAAAATTACTAATCCATACCCAATAAGGAGGTAAAATCAAAATTTTTTTTTATCTAATCAATTCTTCATATAAAAAAGGTCTCAATTCCTCCATGTATCAAAAAATTTAATAATTAAAAAAAAAAATGTCAACTGAAACCGAAAATAACAATCAGGTTGATAGACCAATTTGGTATGAACCATTCTTGGATCGTGGTTTAGTTCCGGATTTTTTACTTCGAAGAGCAATTAGAGTCTTATTAAAGGAAAGATTAAGTTGGATTCAGTTAGGAGATGTAGCAAAGAATCATCAAAGAAAAATCGCTTACGTTAATTCATTGAAAGAAAGGCCAATTGCCGAGCATACCGAACAGGCTAACAAACAACATTATGAGGTAAGTTTCATTCCTTTGCGCACGTGATATGCGCAGTTGATTCTTAAAAAAACGATTATCCACTTTTATTTATAGGTTTCCACAGAGTTTATGAAGATTTGTTTGGGAAGAAGAATGAAATATTCTTGTTGCCTTTTTCCAAACGGTGAGTATAATTCGAACTTTGTATTCTTTGTCGAACGAATGAATTTGAACTTGAACTCTAATCATCTAGGAAATGAAAGTTTGGACGCGGCAGAAGAAGCAATGTTGGAATCCTATTGCATCAAAGCTCGGTTGTCGGAAGGAATGGAAATCCTTGATTTAGGTTGTGGTTGGGGAAGTTTGTGTTTGTATTTGTGTGAGGTATGGCATGAAGTAAATTCGGTTGCTCGATGTGTGAACGAAAATTAAAAAAAAAAAAAATATGTGGTTTTTTTTTAGAAATATCCAAATGCGAAAATCACAGCATTGTCCAATTCAAACACCCAAAGACAATATATCGAGTCAATCGCGCAACAGAAGGGATTTAAAAATCTAAAAGTCATCACTGCGGACATCAAAGAATTTGAATTTGAAACTTTAACTCAGTAAGCATTTTCATTCGGGATCACCCAAATGTAATATTCCCTCACCTAATTTCTTTAATTATATAGATTTGATCGTATTATGTCGATTGAAATGTTTGAACATATGAAAAATTATGAATTTTTATTTACCAAAATTTCAAAATGGATTAAATCAAAGGGATTGTTGTTTATTCACATATTTTGTCACACCGATCAACCATACGATTTTACCATTGGTGATGGTTGGATGTCAAAATATTTTTTTACGGGCGGAACAATGCCTTCCGCTGACTTGTTACTTTATTTTCAACGTCAACTACATTTAGCTGATCAATGGATTATTAATGGTAATCATTATGGTCAAACTTCCGAAGAATGGTTAAAATTAATGAATAAAAATAAAAAGGTTGCTTTGGACTATCTTGCCGAAACTTATGGTAAGTTTATTAATGATTACTTTTTTTTTTTTTTTTTTTTAAAAAAAAATATATATATATATTAATATATTCCTTAAAAAAAAAAAAAAAAAAAAAAAAAAAGGAAAAGAAAATGCCACTTCTTGGTATAATAGATGGAGAACATTTTATATTGCCGTTGCCGAATTATTTAAATATAATAATGGAAACACCTGGTGTGTTGTTCATTATTTATTTGAAAAAGAATGAAACTACACTTGTATTTTAGTTATAAATAAATTATAAATATTTCTCCTTTTTTTTTAAAAATTTTAAATATATTTGTCTTGACCATTATGTCCTTCATTGAATTATGTGACAAGAAGCTTTTCATTTACAACCCTCAAAATGGTAATGTCTTGTCGATGTTGATTATGAAGGAAAGATTTTCGAGTTTGGATATACTTTTTTAACCAAATTCAGATTTGATTTTTTTTTTCGTATAATATACTGTACATGGTAAATCATGAGAATCATTAAATTTTCACAATACTTTTGTCAGAATTTCAACAAAGAATAATAAAAATACAATGAATTTTTTTTTTTTTAAAAAAAATGGTCTTACCGACAAATTGATTTTCAAATAAAATAAAATAAATTAAAACTTGGCACGTCACCTTTTGTTATGTAAAAAAAAACATGAGAAATTTTTATTTCAACAGATGTGATAAATCAATCTGGAATGATAAGATAGATTATCAGGGTATTAGCATCTTATATTATGAACACAAAACGTTATGAAACGGATGGATGCGGATGGATCTCGTGCTCTTATTCATTCCGAACATAACGGCTGTGTCGCTATAAATTCGTTAGCCTTGTATTTAATCTTTTTTTACGTTATATATATGGAATGTGTATCACGTGATCATAGGCAATCTCAAATCCAACTTCACTCAAGTAGGTAATTACAACAATCGAATTGGACTTCTTGAATTCTACAAGTCTGATAGTCGAATAACCAGATCAATTTTCATATATTGGCGTATCTAGTGTAAAGATAAACAAAAAATGGAAGGGTGAGAAAGGTAACCACATTTGGCAATGGGATAAATTCGCAGAGTTCATTGATTGTCATGAGTACATAACGGGTTTCTCCTTCAGAAACGGTGGACCTAAAATGCATTATCACACCACGCAAATTAGGAAGAGTATCATTTTCCTATTTTTTTTTTTTTTTTTTTTTTTTACATGTATATACCAGTTAAAAAAAAATTTCAAGGTAAACATGAGATGTTGAATATTTATATACTTTTGACCCTATATATATATATATATATTTATTTATTTACTTCGATTTGTTTACGTATCATGCGTTTAAAAAAAAAAAAATCCGATGAAATTCTCTAATTGATTAATACGCGTCTTAATATGAGATCATTTTACGCGTGTCACAGATGAAATCATTTTATGAAATCATAGAACATTGATCACAGGGTGATTTACCTAAAAGAATCACGCGTACTTCTTTCGTGTTTTTCAAAAAATTTCGCCCGAATTTCCTCAGATTATCTTAATCATCATTTCCCAAAATAGAAAATTTAAGATTAGAGTTTTTTTTTTTAATTAACGTTAAGGAGATTTTGTATATCAATCGTATCAATATATAAGGTCTTTGCGCAATATATCTTTTAAAATTAATATCAAAGAACCCTTGACTTTTTATACATTACTGCATAATCTTAATAATTGAACCTAAACAAAAAAGAATGAAGCTTTTTGAAAATTGTTTGTGCGTTGCATAGTACATTACATTTTGCTTGTTTGTAATTCTATTGTCCTCCCGCGTGTTTAAAAAACAATTTACAATCCTATCTTTTCTTTTTAAAAAAATTAAAGTTTTTTTTTAAATTCAAAAGATTTTATTTATTTATTTATTTTATTTCTTTTGTTAATTCTGTGGCACATGAAAAAAAAATCGGGCCGTATAAAGAAAAAATCCCGCCATATAAGTGTCATATTCTGCATGTCGGATGCAATTCCCTGCGAATGTGACCATGAATGTAATTATATAATTGTTTTATATATTTATCATACAAAAAGAAAAAATCTAGTAAATATATTTTATTTTATACTGTATTTAAAAGTTACACAATAGTAGTTATTTTTTTTTATTTGCATAATAGATACATTAACCAATGTTGATCGCACCCTTGTATTTCAACAATAAATAAATAGTTGTGATAAGTACTTGCTAAGTTATAAAAAGGGCAAGATATCCCCTCAATGGTCAATTAAAAAATTTTTCGACTTTATAAAAAGTCACAAGTTTACATTTTTTTTTTCTTCATTGGTTTTTGTATTATTATTATAATTATTATTTTGCAATTTTTCTTTCATATGTCTACTTTTTTTTTTGCACGATCACTATTTAATCACATCAATCACCTCTTAAATAACATGACTAACAAGTTCGAATACTATGAAAATTTATCAGATGCTGATGTTATAATTCAAGCAGGAGATCATTGTAATTTCAAAATATTTTCGGCACACTCCGAGTTATTAAAAGACAAATCGCCATATTTTCGTGTTGCCTTATCATCGACGTGGGCCAAAAAAGAAGATGGAAAGATCATTTTAAAGAAACCAAATGTTTCACCAACAGTTTTTCGTATCATATTAGAGTGAGTGTCATTTTTCTAATTTATTGATGTCACTAAACCGCAAGTTTTTTTTTTGCAAACCAAATTAAAATTTTTTTTTTCCCAAGATATTTTTATACGGGAAATTTACCTCTGGATCAACACGATGGGTTAACGATACTTGATCTGTTGATAGCATCCGATGAACTCTTAATCGTACATGATTTACTCGGTCTCATACAAGACCATTTGATCAACGTAAAAACCGAATGGTTAAAGGTGAACTTTTCAACAGTTTTACACGTGGTGTTTGAAAGAGAAGCTTGTAAAGATTTACAAGATTATTGTATGGATAAGATTTGTTGGAATCCGAAAATAATTTTTGATGATGCACAAGTCTTAAAATTTGAGGAGTACGTTCTTGTATCATTATTAAAACATGATAATTTACAAATTGAAGAGATTGAACTATGGGATTACTTAATTAAATGGGGTATAGCTCAATTAGGAAAACAGAGAGAATATTTAGAGGAAGATGAGGATGAACCTCCTTCCCCCCCCTTAAATGATATCAACGATTTATCGAAATGGGATGAGCGAGATTTACAAGATTTAGGAGAAATATTAAAAGATTGTATACCATTAATTAGATTTTCTGAATTTTCCAGAGGGGAATTCTATGATAAAATTTGGCCTTTAAAAGATATTTTGCCTTTGGAATTAAAACAAGACATTTCGTTATTTCATAAAAATCTTGAAATTTTACCCAAATCACTTTTATCCCCAAGGAAACCCATAATCTCAATTAATTCAAATATTATTAAACCACAACAAGCTTCCAAAATCCCTGATTGGATTAATGATCAAGATCATGTACAATTAAATTCACGATTTAATACGGATAGGGTCAGATATGAATTTAAATTATTATTAAGAGGGAGTAGGGATGGGTTCACCCCGAAAATATTTCATGAAAAATGTGATCATAAAGGTCCAAACGTTGTCGTATTAAAAATTCGTGGATCGGGACAAATTATCGGTGGGTATAATCCTCTCGGTTGGAGAAGTTTAAAAACCAGACGTTGGCAGTACACAAAAGATAGTTTTCTATTTTCTTTTGGTAAACATGGAAATCCAGAAGATGCGATATTAAGTCGAATCACCCCTTCATATGAGGCCATCTACGATGATCCTTCGTTTGGTCCTTGTTTTGGTAAGACTGATTTAGATATGAGGAGACAATTTAATGAAGAAAATTGTTCTGCTAAACAACAATGTTATAAACAATCAATTGCCGATACTTCGAAATTTGCCGTGGATGATTATGAAGTATTTCAGGTTTTACGTCATACCGTAAGTATTGGTAATAAATTCCTATGGAATGAAAATGTAATGTGATATTGATAAAGACAAGGCACGTTTCTTTTTTTTTTTTGTAGCCACATTTGAACAATTTCTGACCTGTTATTTAAATAGATATATACACAAATTCATTTTATTAATTTTATTCTAATTTTTTTTTTTTTTACTTCAGTCGGGATTCCTTACAAATCCACAGAGCCAAGTTCCGCTAGCAGAACTTCCAAGTGAGTCAGGATTTCCGCAAGAGTATCCGTCATATGATAACGATTCTGAGTTTGATTTTTTTGATTTTTATGAATAGAAACCGAACAATTGTCATGTATTTTTTTTCAACCAATTATTATTATTTTTATTTTATCGCTGGCGTATTATGCATTTATATAATTTTCATTAAAAAAAAAATAAAAACAAAAAAAAAAAAGATCGAGCATAGATTATATTTTCTTATCACAATTGGAGAAATTAGAATTAGACAAACATCATATTTTCTTTTTAAAATAAAAAAAAAAACTTTCATTTGGAATTTTTGTAAAAAAAAAAATTTTTTTTTCTTTCGGTATAGCGCGTAATTCACCAGAGTCTTTTTTGTGTAAATTTATCGGGATTTTTCGTAAATTTTTATGCAAAACATTAATGTCAGGGGCTTTGCTTCAACTTCACGTTAAAAACATCAATTGTTATGCTCATTTTCTTACGCCATGTTACTAATGTGTTATTAAATTTTGATTTTTACAGGCCCAAATCTATTTTTTAGCTGATGACAAAGAAAATAAAGAAAAAAGGAAACGGTCCCCCTTTTTTATTTTATTTTATTATATTTACTTATTTAATTTTTTTTTTTTTGAATAACCTAGAATAATATAAAAATCGTCGTCCGTTTTATCTTCCATGAAACGTGACGTGATTAGATAATCCAGAATCATTGTTTTGAGAATAATATGTCCAACATGAAACAGGATTTCATTTTCAAAAAAAAAAAAAAAAATATGTTGGTTATTTTCTCATCATGATTTCTTCCACATACTCTAGGAAGTTTTACCACTTTTACAATAGAACAAAATTTTATTCGCTCTACTTTTAAATAATTGGATAGTACCCATGGAATTATGATAAAATCACGCGTTTCAGCTTCACATTTGATGAATGAATGCATGATCATAACCCAATTACTTGGTTTTCCTAATTAATAACTTGTCAAAATAAAAAATTGTAACCAATGAAATGAAATATATGGAATCCAATACATTATTGAAGAAGATAATATGGAATTTCGGTACAGGAGGCTAATAAAAAAAAAGAATGGATCCAATTCGCTAAGCAGGTTGAATTAATAAAAATTTCCTTTTTTAACATAATACGTTTTATTGATTAAGAAACTGCGCCGCATAAAATCGGAATAGAACTGCGCCGTAACAATTTTCATAAGCTGACCATAACCGATTTAGCGTTTATGTCCGGACCATATTAAATTTCGAAAAAAAAAATTTTTTCGTTATATATGTTCTCACTCAACATGTGGGGAAAATGAAATTCCTCGTTTTGCAATATATATCGGTACCTGTAAGATTGTACAATAAAAAATTCTAATGTTCTTGGAAAGGCTCTTTATATTAATAAATCTAAATAAATATATTTAGATTTCATTAAATTATAATAAACCACAAAAATATCGTAATCAAAGGATCTTTTCACAATTCACCAAATCCGGCTAGAACAATGGACAAAAAAAAAAACCTTAAAAAAAAAAAATTTCTTTTTGGGACCACTTTTCTTCACAAACTAAAAAAAAATGCCCTCGAAAGCTATACACAACCCAAAAACGACAGAATATGAGTTTTTGGGACCAATTGGAGCATCCTTAATGATGACAACACTTCCGACCTTAGTATATTTATTACACCTAGGTTGTCAACCTGAAGGGTGTCCAACCGTTTCATTAATTGAACAACTTTTAAATCCACAGCAACTCGTGCAATTTTTTTCCGCAGACAATATCGTTTCTTTATTTGATTTACAAGCTTCTATAGCTTTTTTGGGATATCTGATTTACCTTATTCTTGCGTGGTATCTCATTCCTGGAAGATGGGTTGAAGGAACTCAACTTCGAAATGGAAGAAAGTTAAAATATAAAGAAAATGGATTTCGTAGCATGTTATTAACACTTTGTATAATTGGATGTACGATATTAATTAAAGGACATGAGCCTTTATTATTTATTTTTGATCATTTTATTGGATTAATGTCATGTTCTATAATCGTTTCCTTTTTGGTCGCTATTTATGTTTACTTGATTTCCTTTCAAGAAGAAAAATTGTTAGCCCTCGGAGGGAATTCCGGAAACATAATTTATGATGTAAGATCTCATTAACATTTGTCAATCCATTTAAGAGTTAAAAAAAAAAATTTAACTTTGTTTGTGTATGATAAAGTTTATGATAGGAAGGGAACTGAATCCCCGAATAGGGAATTTTGATATAAAATATTTTGTAGAATTAAGACCCGGGATAACCGGATGGATAATCATTAATATTGCGATGGCGGCAAAACAATATCACGAACTTGGTTATGTTACATTGGGAATGATTTTGGTAATAACCTTTCAAGGATGGTATTGCATTGACTCGGTATATAATGAAGTAAGTTCCTACCAAAAGATTTACCAAAATTTTTTTAAAATTAAATTATCTAATATAATAATATTTTAGCCAGCAGTTTTGACCACAATGGATATAACAACGGATGGATTCGGATGGATGTTATCATTTGGCAACATTACTTGGTTAGCATTTCTTTATCCATTGCAAGCAAGATATTTAGCTTTAAGGCCAAATCATCTTTCTTGGATGGAAATTGTCATTATTTTATCTCTTCAAGCTATCGGTTACGGTATTTTTAGAGGCGCTAATAATGAAAAGAATGCGTTTAGAAATAATGCAAATGATCCAAAACTTAAATGTTGGTATAAAGGGAATAAAGGGTTTGATTTATTTATTTTTAAATAATTTAATCATAAACTTTATTATAGATCTAAAATATATGACAACCGAATCTGGATCAAAATTAATCATTTCAAGTTGGTGGGGTAAAGCAAGGCATATTAATTATTTAGGTTTGTTCCTTTATCAAGTAAATGATAAGATCAACCATTCAAAGACATAATTATTAAATAATTCCTCTCTCTCTATAACTTAGGTGATTGGATCATGGCGTGGGCTTGGTGCTTGCCTTGTGGTAAGTTATTAATGAATCTAATTGAATCATTTCAAACTTATCTAATTAAAGCTTGTTAACCAAATTCTTGCAGGATTTGATGATATATTTCCATATTTTTATGTAATATATTTTGCGGTATTACTTGTTCACAGAGAGTTAAGAGATGAAGAAAAGTGTAAAAAGAAATATAAAAAAGATTGGGATAGATATTGCAACATTGTTAGATATAAAATTATACCTGGTAAATAATTATACTTTTTTCATATAATTTGTTTGTAAAATTACTAATATGTTATTATATAAATATATAGGTATTTATTAATAATGTTATAGATCTTTTAATTTAATAAAAATTTTTTATTAACCAATAAATAAATCATAAACTTATTATTTTCGGAATGTTAAATATCATTCATGGTAAAAAAAAAAGAATATACATACGAAAAATGAATCTTATAAATTAAAAATGCTTTCACTTTTTGAAGATTTGAAATATTTCATATTCGTCAACACAAAAACCACTTTCATCATCTCTAATTTTATCCATGTAATACTGTTGAATACATGAACAATTCAAAGGTGAATTAAAAATTTTACCCATAAATAAATCCGTTTTACCAAATTGAGGACCGGTATCTCGAGAGATACAAAAAGCTTTAGAAGTATGATTCGGATCAATTCTACTCAATTTCGATTTGGATTCTAAATTTTTTAATTCCATCTTAAAATTTATTTTATTATGTTTCATCCAAGAGAGGTTATTCTTATTTGTCAAAGAAATCGATTCACGTGGGAAAGAAAATATAAAAGAAGATTGTTCATATCTCCAAAAATCACTCGAGTCCCTCCACCTATCATGTTCAAAACTCCAAGGATTATATCCACCAATCAATTCACCGGTATCTTTAATTCTCATGACGACTATGGTATTTTCTAAACGTTCGAATTTATTATGAAATATATCGGCGGTAAAACCATCTAACGTGCCTCTAATTTTTAATTCAAATCTTAAAGTTGGATAACTATAAAGTTCCGATGATTTATTAATCCAATTACAAATTAGTGAAAAATGTTTTAACTTTAATAAAGCAGAATCAAACAGTCCGGTTCTAATAGGAGCAAGTTGCTTCCGTGAAAGGGTCGGATTAATATAATACCATAACGTTTGCTCATAAATATCCTGTTGAATGAATTCTTTAAATGGTTTGACATTTTCATGAAACTCTTTATAAGTAATATGATGAAATCTAATAAAAGGTGTAAATTCTTTAAGCATTTTCGAAAAATTGGATTTGGTCTTCCTTGACCATCTATTTATGTCATCTTTATTAAATTGGGATTTTTGACCTCCATTCAGATTAGGTTGATTTATACACCATATAATTACAATCCTCCAAATATCAATTTCTTCCAGGAACAAATCATCTCGCTTAATCATGTCTTTAATGGTATTCAATAATAATTGGGTAAAATCGGTTGATTCAAATATTGATTGAGGGTCTTTATCGATTTTCGTTAAACAGAATTCTTGAAGTTGGTTCCATAAGGTATGTTTAAATGATATATGAAGAATATGTGAAAAATTTTGTGATAAATAAGTTGAATGAAATTTAATTAGACCCGTTTCAATGTGGGAACATAACTCGTGAAGAATGAATTCATCCGATGCCACAAGAATTTCTATCAGAAAATCCGGTGATTTTTTATCGAATGAAAGGGTCCCGGTATAAAGATATCTAACATGGGAATTTTTTTTTTTTTTTTTATACACGAGGGTAAGATCGTTTCGGTTAAAATATGCATGCATGCGTGTGAAGGGTTCAAGTTAAATGCTTACTTTAAGATGACCTCAAAAACCTCAGGTTTAATATTCGGTTTCTCAATAAAGAATGATCCATCATCATCTTTTTTACACCAACCTCTTTTAAAAGCGGTATGAAAATAAGGACATATGACACGTAAAATGTATAAATGCGCTTTAAACAATCTTTTATTAGGTTCTTGTCCTATAATTAATTTCACATTATAATCATTCACGTCATCATCGAGCAATTTCCCAAGTTTTTCCGAAAACTTCGTGATCAATTCAATATCGTCCATTTTCGATTTGATGATAAAAAAAAAATCGCGGGGTTTAGCAAAGAAAATCAAATCTTTTTTACGATGGAATATTTATGAGATTTTTTTTTTTTTTAGCCCGTTTCAAACCTATTCGGTCTTAAATAATAATAACGCTCCGGAGTTCGGATTCATTGTGTGTGGAATTTTGCCAAATTTGTTTGTGAAAGAATTTGTCGAAAAATTATCATTCCACGACAACTCACGACAACTGCGATACCCCAAATTATTTGTTGAATTTTGATTGGTTTATTCGGAAACTCGGAATTGCGATATTCGAGTAATGAAAAAAAGGAAAAAAAAAAAAAAAACCAATTTGAAAATGACACGCGTCTTATTATTTAATTACAATAACCCATATAGTCACACCCAAAATAAAAATAAAAATGATGATTATACAAAAGTTATATGATTATTGAAAGTTTGATGTAAAGTCATCTTATTCAATGAAAAAAAAATTTTTTTTTAAAAAAAATTATCCAAAGGTACAATTTGTATTGTAATCATTATTACATTAAAAATATTTGATAGTAATATAATTATAATTTTATTATTTGTTTTATTTATATGAAACATCACTTTTCTTTTCATTATTTTTTTTACTCTTTTTTTTATCATAATACAAATTAGATTCTAATGATGATAGGGATAACTGACAAAACTAACACAATTTAGTGTGATTCAACACGCAAAAAAAAAAAATAATAAATACACCTTTTCATTATTTTGCAATAAAGTGATATGTAAGGAAGAATAAGATAGATAGCATTTACTGATAATGAATGAAGAGAATTGGTAAAATTTTAATCCAGTATAGCAATTTTGACTATCTTGTCTTAATAAGTATCCCAGAGACATATAAGATAATAGAAAATATTTTTATCCTGATAAATTTAATTACTCATATACTTCAATATATGTTAAAATTTTTACATACTAGTTACTTGGCTTCAGAGTCAGTATATTAAAATGATCTTAATTCTGTATATTAATTTAATCTTTAATAAGAGAAAAGCATTTATGTGTAACTTCATAAATGATATTCCTATTTTCAAAGAATATAAATATCTTGATAAATACATGTAAAATTATGTATTGGTAAAATAGGTGAAAATTTTACAAAGAGGTATTATAAGCAACTTTTTGATTTAAAATTTAATAAATATAAATGAGATACTTAATTCAGTTAAATTCAAGTTTTATTTTTTTACTTGTATCTTAAGTATATTACTTTAATCAGATAAATCAATAATAAAATTGTTCTAATAATCAGTAAAATTTATATTATGCTTATTCAGAAAATGATTCATAATCTTTAAGATTTTATAATTAGTAAATTTTGATATTTTATTCCCTTTATACATTCTAATATATTTAATTTTATCTATTTCTATCTTATTTTACAATTTTTAAATTTTTACAACTCTTTGAATATTTATGCAAACTAATTCTTAATATATTTAAAAGTGATAATCCTGTATCTTAAGATCTTTTTTATAAAAAAGTATTAAATTACTTTACAACTTTATTATATATTAAAACTTTTATCTTATTTTCATTATTTTATTTTTATCATATAAGGTTTTCTCCTAAAATACAAATTTTTTATAGTAATATTAGCAAAATATTTCTTCTTAATCTGTACATATACTTTTTAATAAGTATTTTATCACTAAATACTAAAATAATTTTATAATATTAGCTTTATATAGTAAGGTAATACATTAGATTTCTAAACTACATAGTATCAAAAATTTAAGTTACATGATTTGATATTATAAATCTCTAATATTTATTCTTTAGTAAATAAAAATATTTTTTAAATCAACTTCTATTTATTTTTTCATTCATTACAAGTAATAAACATAAGATTCTAAATTAAAAGTAATTACTTTGTAAATTAATAACTTTTGATTAGTAATTTTATATATAAATTTCTTTTTCTTATACCATTACCTTATTTTATTTAACTCTTTTTTTATTTACCTTATCTAAAAAAATATCTATCTCTTGGAACTCTAATAATTTAGAAATAATATTATTTATTTTACAATTAAATTTATATTATTTAAACTGATTTAAAATAAAATCAAATTTATTAATAAGTAATATTTTTAGTGTTAGTTCTTATTTGTTAAAGTAAATCTCTTTAGAAAAGTAACTATTTATTTTCTTATTTATTAATAGTTTTTTATGATGTTTTGCAATCAAATTAAAGTTATATAAACTATTATTAAGAGAATTAATTACTTTAATAATATTATCATTTTATAATTGCATATTTATTACTAAGAAACTTTATTTTAATATTATAAATCTGACTTTAAATTTATAATATATTCTTTATTTTAATTTCTCAATTCTAATATTATACTTAGTATTTTTCTTAATAATTTATTTTAATTTTGTATTTTTAACCTTAGTCTCAATTTTAGCAACTTTTTTTAATTATATAATAAAGTAAATTATAGATATATAACTATTTCTATTAAAAAATACTTACCTAATAATAACAATATCATTAATCAAAAAACTTAAAAACTAATTAAATAAAATTTTATAAAAATTTATGTAAAAAGTCAAAATCTAAATATTTGTAACTTTATATTAGATGTGAATTAAGAGAAGAATTTGTAAAAATATTAAAATAAAAAAATAAAAGAATAATATTTCTTCTTATGCTAATAATTACTGTAAATCTAAATTATCATAAATGTATTTCTTAAACTCAAATTATATAAATATAAAAAATATTACAAACCTATTAAAAAACACTTTTAATAGTATTATGAAAAATAAATACCTTACTAAAAAACTCTGTAATTCTGAAATTTATTATTTTAAATGAAAGATGATAAAAACTAAAAAATCTACAAAGAAAAAGCTTTAAAAAATAAACAGAAAGGAATTAAAATAAAGAGAAAATAGTTTTTCAATTAAAATTTGATATTAAATAATTAGAATAAATCCTTAATCAGATTCTAAAAAATGATAATTACAAAATAAAAGAACAGAATTAGCTAAACTAAAATCTCAAATAAATAATGAAAAAAACTTACCAATTAAATTCTATAAATAAGTTTAAAAATAGTTTATAAAATGGCTGTTACTTATTTTAGTTATTTAAAATAATTATAATTAATTAAAAGAAAAATTTATTAAAAAATTTTTATATTTAGTATAAAATTACTTAATATATTTGATACTGACTTATAATAAGTAATATCTTTAAATTTATCTTTAAAGAATGAATAAATATTTTGATAAAGATACTTTTGCCTTTTGTAATTTAAAAGAAGTAAAATTAGTACTAAAATGAAAAAAATTTAATGTTTTTAATAATTTCAAAAATAATCTGCTTTTTTTGATTTTCAATAAATTAAATTTAGCATAAGTATCATTAACAACTAGCTGAACTTTGATAATTCTAGTTAATATTTTTGTAACCATTTAATTAAAGAAAATTCTCAATATAGAATTAAGATTTAAGTATTAAAACCTTTTTTATTATTATAATGCTAAATCTTATTTATTTAATTGTACTTAATCTTTTCATAATTTTATAAAGATTCATATAATTTACAATATTTGATGATACAGTTTTTTAATTAATTCAAAACTATCATTATACTTGAATTTATATATTTAAGTATTATAAAATTAAGCTTAATACTTTTTATAATAATCACAAATTATTAAATATAGATAATATTAAATAGTAGTATTATTTTTATTATGTCTTTTACATTATTACAAATAATTTTTAAATGTTTTTTATTTGTTTAATCTTTTAATCTTAAGCTCTTTACGCTATTAAGATCTTTACCAATAATTTTATCTTCATTGAAAATATAATTAATTTGTTCATGTATTGCTTTATCTTAAATATTAAATAAATATATTTTACATAGACAAAGATAATAAATCTTATTTATCTATTGATCAGAATAGAATGTATAAATATTTTGTAATAATTTTTTTCTAATTTAGCTTTAATTAGATATTCTTTGTATTTTTGAATAAGTTTCTTACTTTTTCTTCTTTATTAATATTATACTATAAGTTATTGTTATACAAAAGAAGACATGGATGATGATGATCTAAAGGATGACGTCGATCCCTAAGAAATCATATATGTCTTCTAAGTCATCTATGACATCTATAGCATTTATTTCTTTATACATTATATTTCTTTTATTTATTTTATCTTATTTATCTCATATATTTATTATATTTTATTTATTATATTTATTTCTTTTAT